TATTCAATTAACGTATGATCCGATTAGTCGACTAATCGAATAAATAATCGGTGATTAATCGATTATTAAAATAATCGTTTGTGGCAGCCCTACTTGGAAACAATAATGTTTTAAATGAATTAAAAGCCTGAAATTATTTAATGAAAATTTTTGATCACAACTATACAGTAATAGAGTTAAAAATGTATAATAAGATACAAATCAACATTCATTTTTATCTTTATAATTTCTTTTTCTACTGCTCTGCACCTGATCCTGACTCAGTAGACTGAGAGTCCAATCATCTCTATATTGAAAAATAAGCTTTTCTGTCTCATATTTTCTATAAGGTTCGACCCATAAGCTCTGTATTCTAGTTAGACCTTTTATATTAACTGGACTACAGTCTGAGGTTGTACAGACGCTATGATTAAAAGCATAAGAAGCAAACTGGAACAAGATTTAACTTGGACTTTCAAAACCAAAACTTATAAATGCTTTTCATAGCCCATTAGAACAGTGGAAACTTCTTGCAGACTTGTCTTTGATCCTGTGTTGGCAGCTTGTACCTGCAGTCCTCTGGGAACAGCTCCTGGAGGAAACCCCTGTGACAGAGAAACAGGAAGCTGCTTCTGTAAACGTCTGGTGACTGGACGSGACTGTGACCAGTGTGTGGTGAGAAATCCTTGCATTTAATACTCAGTGATACTCCAGAACATGCCACCAAGCCATTKCTAACCTGCTGTTAATCTGCTGCCAACATGCTGCTAACTGAATACTAACCAGCTGTTAACCTGCTGCTGACCTGCTACTAATCTGCTGCTAACTTGCCCCTGACCTGCTGCCAGCCTGATGCTAATCTGAGGGTCCCACCTGCTGCCCGATGGCTCCACAGAGTTGGTAAATCCCTTAAAAAGTGCACGTTCACTCGAGATCAGGTCCAGTCCTGGGCCRCTGGGTCCTATCTTTATTGGAAGCTCATGGTGGAGTCGACTGTTCCGAGAGACCATTGGAGATGGCGTGTTGATTTGTATGTGCTRCAAGATGTAGTGGAATATGGCTAGCATATTCTGGTGAGTTTAGACGTACTGTTTGAGTAGAACTCAGATAGTACATTGAGTGTTTGTGGGGTTATGCTGTAGAAATGACTGGTAAATGATTGAAAGTCAATGCAAAGTCCCCATTAGTATAGAAGAACAAACTTGTTTGTGTGTGTGTGTGTGTGTGTGTGTGTGTGTGTGTGTGTTGGGGGGGTCTGGAATGTCTTTGTCTGTAGAGTCCTGCTGATGGGGGACGGGTGATGGTGGGGGTGCAGATTACTTAAAATAAAAATCAGTTCAAACATCAAACATCTGCTCTGTGATCCATCTGACCCAGACCCTGATCAGAACTGACCAGTTCTCAGGTCCAGATGTCTCCTGGTCCTGGTTTAAGATCAGTTCTGAGGGTTTTGAGTTTAAATAAACACATTCATTCAGTTTTTGTGGTTTTTAAACTCAGTTTCTTCTCTTTTTCAAACTGAGTTATTTGAGTTTTGGGGTCTCAGTCCCAGTTTAATGTCCCGCTTCAGATTCTGCTGATCTTCATTTGGGTCTGGCGGTTCTGGTCTGACAGTCCGGATGTGGGCTGGCACCGGTGGATCTGAGGGGGCGGGGCTCTGAAGCCTCTAAGGGGGTCTGAGGACCAGACGGTCTGAGGAGGAGCTCTGCTGAACCAGGGTCCGTGGTTCGGGGGACTTCCTACAGGTTTCTTCAGAGGATTTGGACTTGGATCCGGACCATGCTGCAGCTTCAGTTTGCGGTGCTGCTCGGTGAGTTCCCCGGTTCTTCTGCGGACCTTTAGAAGTCAGACGTCAGGATGGAGGTCAGTTTGACCGGTTTGTCTCTAGGTTCGTTTCTTTAACTGAAGTCAGAACCAGAACCGCCTGAAACAGCTGCCTGTCAGGTCAAACACACTGGAAACGTTTAAATATTTAAAAACATGGTGGATTAGAAAGACCCGCTAAAGTTACGACCTGTGACGTCACTCTGGAGATTCAAGGACTGCCTTAAAGAAATGCAGATCACCCGCTGCCTCATCTCTTTGAGCACTGCTCAGAGTGAGGATGACTCTCACACCAGAGGCGGATCTAGGATTTTTCTGAGTAAGGGGCCACAATGAATAGAGGGGCCAAGTATTTGTGCAACATCCTTCCACACAAATTCCTAGCTTTGGTAATTGTTTAAACACTTGTTATGTAATGTAATTAAAATAATCTTGCAAAAAAACAGTAAATCCTCCTTTACAATTTTACATGCATTTTTTTTAACTGTACTTACCATAGATATAATACTCTCAAACGCACAGCATGTAAGAAAATCCAGCCGTTGAAAGACTTTATCCATCCATCCATCCATTTTCTTCTGACTATCCGGGGTCGGGTCGCGGGGGCAGCAGCTTCAGAAGGGAGGCCCAGACCTCCCTTTCTCCGGGGGAACTCCAAGTTGTTCCCAGGCCAGCCGAGAGACATAGTCCCTCCAGCGTGTCCTGGGTCTTCCTCGGGGCCTCCCTGGAGGCCTCCAGGG